AGTGGCTGGGGAAACCTAGCCAGGAGGGCAGGGTATAATTAAAATGTTGTTGTTGTTGTTGTTGTTCTTATCATCATCATCATCATCATCATCATACGTTGGGGGTAGGAAATTGGAGTTGTAATCCAAACTAGGCTGGATTGAGAAACTAGGCTTGAGAAAGGTTGCCGTAGAGACTTATTGGGTGTCCTTAATCAGAAAGAGGCATGACTGAGGAAAACCACCTTTGACAATTCTGATGGGAACTGACCAGATCTCTGCCCTCTGGACTGATCTTTGTGAATAAGGACTTGTTTGTTTTTGTATGTTTAGTAAATTTGTATACTGCCCTCCCTCCGAAGATCTCAGGGCAGTTCATAGTATAAAAATACAAAATAAAGACACAAAATGCATAAGAGAAACAAAAACAAAACAAACCCGTAATGCCCCTTTAAATGTGTTGTGTAATTTATATACCTGCAAGGCGTATATATTGCTTGCTCAGGAGATCTGTTTGTTGCACCGTGGATTCATTCTTCAGCCCATGTCCTTTTGTTTTGAAGCATCCATACCTACGGTGACCCATTTCCGGGTCGTAGAAGAAGGACTGTTCAGCCTGAAAGTAGCTTGGACTCCTCCTTTGGGAAAACTGGAAGGCTACAAGGTCTACTTGCCAAGTAAGTCAGTGGAGTCCCTGCTAGATTTGTGTGTTTGTCTGTGAGAAAATGCATTCAGGGAAAAGGAATACAGTGGTACCTCGGTTTTCGAACGTAATCCATTCCGGAAGACGGTTCAACCTTCAAAAACCGAGGCGCAAAGGGTGGTCTGTCAATTCAATAGAGAAAATTGTGAAAAACAACAGATACACATAGCAGAAGCCATTTGACTTCCGAGGCTCGTTCGAAAACTGAAACGTTCAGCAACAGAGACGTCCAAAAACCAACTTATTACCAAACTTAAAACCATGGAGAGACCTGGTCTGAATAGAGACATTGGATTCTTATCTCATTATACATGATAAAGCTATTTTTTAGCCATCTCACCCCTTGCTTTTCCCTGTAAGTCATTAACAGTCGTCAACAGGTTTACCACACCTATCAGCCAATCACCCATTCCCACCACCCTTCTGAGTGTATCCCATCCTCTCACTATATATAAGGGTCTGGTGACTTCTGTTTCAGTGTATCTGAAGAAGTATGCATGCACACGAAAGCTCATACCAATAACAAACTTAGTTGGTCTCTAAGGTGCTACTGGAAGGAATTTTTTAATTTTGTTTCAAGGTTAGTGCTGTGGGTTAAACCACAGAGCCTAGGACTTGCCAATCAGAAGGTCGGTGGTTCGAATCCCCGCGACGGGGTGAGCTCCCGTTGCCCGGTCTCAGCTCCTGCCAACCTAGCAGTTTGAAAGCACGTCAAAGTGCAAGTAGATAAATAGGTACCGCTCTGGCCTGGAAGGTAAACGGCGTTTCCGTGCGCTGCTCTGGTTCGCCAGAAGCAGCTTAGTCATGCTGCTGGCCACATGACCCGGAAGCTGTACGCCGGCTCCCTTGGCCAGTAAAGCGAGATGAGCGCCGCAACCCCAGAGTCGGTCACGACTAGACCTAACGGTCAGGGGTCCCTTTACCTTTTTTACCACTATAAGCCCAGGGTCTATAGCAGGCATAGGTAAACTCCAGCCCTCCAGATGTCTGGGACTGCAATTCCCAGCATCCCTGACCACTGGTCCTGTTAGCTAGAGATGATGGGAATTGTAGTCCCAAACATCTGGAGGGCCAGAGTTTGCCTATGCCTGGTCTATAGCATGGTGCTTAGGGTCCCCAACGTGATGCCCAGGGGAACCACACTGCTCACCAAGGCTCTCTGCCCTACCCAATATTCTTCTTCTTCCTCCTCCTCTTCTGGTTTGGTGGGTTGTTGTTTTTTATTTTTTTCTGGGGGGAGGGTGGTCAACTCAACTCACTCTGGGCAAATCCTGCCTTGACTCTGATCAGCCCAATTCAGTTTGGGATCCAAGATTTGTCTAGACTGAATGATCAGCCCAGCAAAACATCCATCCCACCAAAGAAAAATTGTCAGTGGTCAGAACGCCCCTTGGCAAAAATGTGCAAAACTCCTGCACGCACCCCAAAAACATGTAAAATTCAGACAGAAAAAGCAGGCCACACCCCTTCCCCCAATACAGCAAAGGCTCACTGAGAAATGCAGTGGAATATATTCTCAAAATCAGGACCCAAAAAACTCTTCACACAGGAGATGTGGATGTTTCTGTGGGTCCACTGAGTCTGCTATTTGTGATTCTTCTGGTATTGCAACCTTTGAAAAGTCAAGGGGAAGGCTTGTTAATATGTCTGGTCAAAACCTTTGCAAATTAACCTTTGGATTTCGTATAAAAATGTGCAGCGATGTTGTGGGTGGGAGGATTTTACAGCTGCACCAGGGAATGCGATAGATAAAATCATCCTTTATTTATCCTGCCTATTTCCAGAATAAAACTCAAAGCAGCGTGAAGAGGGTTTGTAGGTCGGTAAGGACCAGATAAGTAGGTAGGGACACAGGTGGCGCCGTGGGTTAAACCACAGAGCCTAGGACTTGCCAATCAGAAGGTCGGCGGTTCGAATCCCCGCGACGGGGTGAGCTCCCATTGCTCGGTCCCTGCTCCTGCCAACCTAACAGTTCGAAAGCACGTCAAAGTGCAAGTAGATAAATAGGTACCACTCTGGCGGGAAGGTAAATGGCATTTCCGTGCGCTGCTCTGGTTCGCCAGAAATGGCTTAGTCATGCTGGCCACATGACCCGGAAGCTGTACGCTGGCTCCCTCGGCCAATAAAGTGAGATGAGTGCCGCAACCCCAGAGTCGGCCACGACTGGACCTAATGGTCAGGGGTCCCTTTACCTTTAAGGACCGGATAGGCACCCCCTCCAGAAAGTTGTTGTTGTTTAGTCATTTAGTCGTGTCCGACTCTTCATGACCCCATGGACCAGAGCACGCCAGGCACTCCTGTCTTCACTGCCTCCGCAGTTTGGTCAAACTCATGCTGGTCTCTTAGAGAACACTGTCCAACTATCTCGTCCTCTGTCGTCCCCTTCTCCTTGTGCCCTCCATCTTTCCCAACATCAGGATCTTTTCCAAGGAGTCTTCTCTTCTCATGAGGTGGCCAAAGTCTTGGAGCCTCAGCTTCAGGATCTGTCCTTCCAGTGAGCACTTAGGGCTGATTTCTTGAAGAATGGATAGGTTTGATCTTCTTGCAGTCCATGGGACTCTCAAGAGTCTCCTCCAGCACCAGAGTTCAAAAGCATCAATTATTTGTCGATCAGCCTTCTTTATGGTCCAGCTCTCACTTCCATACATCACTACTGGGAAAACCATAGCTTTAACTATACGGACCTTTGTTGGCAAGGTGATGTCTCTGCTTTTTAAGATGCTTTCTAGGTTTGTCACTGCTTTTCTTCCAAGAAGCAGGCGTCTTTTAATTTCGTGACTGCTGTCACCATCTGCAGTGATCATGGAGCCCAAGAAAGTAAAATCTCTCACTGCCTCCATTTCTTCCCCTTCTATTTGCCAGGAGGTGATGGGCCCAGTGGCCATGATCTTAGTTTTTTTGATGTTGAGCTTCAGACCATATTTTGTGCTCTCCTCTTTCACCCTCAATAAAAGGTTCTTTAATTCCTCCTCACTTTCTGCCATCAAGGTTGTGTCATCTGCATATCTGAGGTTGATATTTCTTCCGGCAATCTTAATTCCGGGTTGGATTTCATCCAGTCCAGCCTAATCCTGCTTAGCTTCACCGAAGTGGGGCATCGATGGGAGGTTGTCTCCTCTGAAGGAGCCGTTACGCAGCTTGGGGTCCATTCTGGATCCTTTGCTGTTGCTTGAGGCTCAAGTGGCCCCAGTGACATGGAGAGCCTTCCCTCAGCTCTGGCTGGCTTCCTTTCCCCAAGCCCTAGCACGCAATGGAGACAAATATTTCCATGTGTATTTTGTCCTCCAGCCTGGTACCGGTGAGATAAAAGGTGGGGTAACCCTCTTAATTATAATTCAATCCATTATTTCCCATTTCATCATATTAGATTTTTCCCATGTACAATGGTACCTCGGGTTAAGAACTTAATTAGTTCCGGAGGTCCGTTCTTAACCTGAAACTGTTCTTAACCTGAGGTACCACTTTAGCTAACGGGGCCTCCCGCCGCCGCGCGATTTCTATTCTCATCCTGAAGCAAAGTTCTTAACCCGAGGTACTATTTCTGGGTTAGCGGAGTCTGTAACCTGAAGCGTCTGTAACCTGAAGCATCTGTAACCCGAGGCTGTTTCATGTCTAAGTTAATTCATTAACAGTACCAGGAAGTAAAAAAAAAGGTCCCCTGAGCATGTACAGAGTATTTACCCATTGCAGTTGCATGGGACACATTTGAGACAGGAAGGATGATGATGCCGAGCTGGAAAAAACTGAGGAAAGGACGCCCCAAATGATCAAGGAGTTGAAGCAACTCTCCAGTGAGGGAAGTTTGGCACATTTCCCTTTTGTTTCCTTACTAAACCTTAAGATACCTCGTTCCCTTAAGCCTCCGCTTCCCGGATTTTCAGATGCCTGGGTCCCTTAGCTCCTTCTGGATTCCCAAACATTAAGCAGCCATTCCTTTCCTTTCTGCTGCCTTCTCCCCCAAAATTTCGTCCCAGCTCCTGAGTGGACTTGACTCAATTTGTTTTCGTTTCTACCTCCTGCACAGCAAACAGGCCTGGGTTGACCTCGGAAAAGATTCTGGCCAGAGATGTCTCCTCACATGTCCTTGACAACTTGCAGGAGGACACAAACTATACGGTCAGCATTTATGCTGTCTACCCAGAAGGGCCGAGCCAGGCGGTGTCAACGACTGGCAGAACTTGTAAGTCCTTCCAAATGTTTCTTTGTTGTTTTTCAGATCCGTTTCGGGAACAGGACCCCCTGTAGGGGGCTAGCCATTTCTAGGTCCGTTTGCCCGGAACTGGCATCCTTGTGCAACATCCTTAGGCCCTTGCCAGGGGCCTGGCATCCTTAGCTCAGCAGGTAGAGCATCGGTTTTGCATGTGGAAGGTGCCAGGTTCAAGTCCTGGCATTTCCAGGTGGAGCTAGAGGAAACCCCTGCCTGGAATCCTGTGTAGCTGCTGCCAGTCCATGAAGACATACTGGGGGGGCCCTGATTGGGTATAAGGCAGCTTCCTGCAGAGGGTGGATTTTATTTGCATGTTTCACGTATATCCCACTTTTCCTCCAATGATCTCAAGGTAGAGTACATGATTCTCCCCTCTTCTTCCTTTAATTGACACAACAACCCTGTGAGGCGGGTTAGGCTGAGATCTATCACAGGAGCCCGAGCGCGCAGCATAGCTGTCAACTCACAGATTTTGCAAATAGGGATCAGCAGCCAAAATAAGGGACCTGCAGCCTGCACCTGTTCGAGTGCACTCCAGTCTTCCTGATCCTCCTGCAGTCTGGTCAAAGCTGCACTGCTGGTAGCTTCAGGACAGCTGTCCAGCCAACTTTGTAGCACAGCAGGAGTTCAACTGACTCAGAATCTGAATCACGGATGCACCGCATGAGGCCTGTGCAGCCTCAGCTTAAGATGGCTCCAGTGCACACTGGTCCTCTTGCACTGCCAGGCTTACAGCTGCACATGCAGCAAAATGGTGTCCAGCATCTCTACAAAGCCCCTTCAGCTGAGCGGTAGCGAGCCACATGGAAGGTATGGCTCCATTTCTCCTGCTTAGACTTCGCTGAATGGGACTGAGCAGCAGAGCCAAGCAATCACCGTTGGAGCTCTCCCTCCTCTCTGGTCCGGTGAGGCCTAGAGAGCGAAGAATATGGTATATCTCACTTTTCCTCCAAGGGACCTCCCCTCATCCATCCTTTAATGGACACAACAGGCCCTGGAATGAGGGACGGGCCTTCAGGCTGAGGATACTTGACAGCAAGTGCCACCCAGTGAGCTTCATGGCCGAGTGGGGATTTAAACCCTGATCTCTCCCAGGCTCTAGTCTGGCCCTCTGATCACTACACCACACTGGCTCCCTGGGAGCTACATGGCATGTATATTCCCCGTAACTTTCCAGGCTGAGAGTTTTGCGGAAAGTTAAAATAACGGCTCCGCTCGGCCACATCTGTTTCCGCAACAGATGACATTAGGGGATGGTGTACTAAGGTTTTGGCATCCAGTTCTTAACCAGTAATAAAACTAATACAGTGGTACCTCGGGTTAAGTACTTAATTTGTTCCGGAGGTCCGTTCTTAACCTGAAACTGTTCTTAACCTGAAGCACCACTTTAGCTAATGGAGCCTCCTGCTGCCGCTGCGCTGCTGGAGCACGATTTCTGTTCTCATCCTGAAGCAAAGTTCTTAACCCGAGGTACTATTTCTGGGTTAGTGGAGTCTGTAACCTGAAGTGTATGTAACCCGAGGCACCGCTGTACCAGTACTAATACTAATACTAATACTAATACTAATACAGTGGACGCTTGGGTTGCGAACGTGATCCGTGTGGGATGCACGTTCGCAACCAGCAGTGTTCGCAACCCGCAGTGGCGCGTCTGCGCACATGCAGGTTGCGATTCAGCACTTCTACGCATGCGCAAAGTGCGATTTAGCGCTTCTGCGCATGCGCGGCTGCCGAAACCCGGAAGTAACCTGTTCCGGTACTTCCGAGTTTCGGCAGTCCGCAACCCGAAAAAATGCAACCTGAAGCGTCTGTAATCCGAGGTATGACTGTACTCATAATAATTTATACCCTGCCCATCTGGCAGGGTTTCCCCAAGCCACTTTGTGCGGCTTCTAACAGAATGTTAAAAACACAATGAAACATCAAACATTAAAAACTTCCCTAAACAGGGCTGCCTTCAGATGTCTTCTAAAAGTCAGGTAGTTTTTTATTTCCTTGACATCTGATGGGAGGGCGTTCCACAGGGCGGATGCCACCACCGAGAAGGCCCTCTGCCTGGTTCCCTGTAACCTCACTACTTGCAGGGAGGCTGCAGAAGGCTGTCGGAGCTGGACCTCAGTGTTCGGGCAGAATGATGGGGGTGGAGATGCTCCTTCCGGTGTACTGGGCCGAGGCCGTTTAGGGCTTTCAAGGTCAGCACCAACACTTTGAATTGTGCTTGGAAATGTACTGTGAATGTTTGTTTCCTGCAGTAAAGCTGTTGCCTGTGGGAAACTTCGTGCTCCAGAATGCAACAACCAATACTATCCAGGCCAGATGGATGCAAGTCAGAGGTGCCTCAGGATACAGGCTGACGTGGGAGTCTTCAGGTAGAGAGCATCCTTACTTTGGTTCTTTGCAGGGAAGCGACCAAGCACTCACTAAAGAAGGTGGCTTTTCAATAATAGTCAAATCTGGGGGCCAGAAAACCTGTGACGTTGATTATGGTGTTATAGAGGGTTGTTTTTTTTGGGGGGGGTAGTCCTTCTAAACCAGCGGTTCTCAACCTGTGGGTCCCCAGATGTTGTTGGACTACAACTCCCATCATTCCTAGCCAGCATGACCAGTGGTCAGGGATGATGGGAGTTGTAGTCCAATAACATCTGGGGACCACAGGTTGAGAACTGCTGTCCCTAGAATGGTAGGATTTTGATTAATTGGGATATGGACGAAAGTAAAAGCTGCAGAGCTGTGCCAGGCAAGGAATTCCTAAGCTGGCTTCCACAAACCAGCCTGGCTGGCCTTTTGGAAGAGCAAATCTGTTAACGTGACAAAAGGGGTTGATGGGGCCATCCGAGACGAACCCTTTGGACTGGGGAGACAGATGTTGCCAAGGTGATTGGGGTGTGTGTGTTTGAGGTGTCAGGAAAAGAGAGGCTTTTTTGAGCAAGGGGAGCTGGGAAGAAGGAGGAAGAGGAAAGACTGGGATCCATCTTGGGAAGGTTGGCTGGGAAAGATGCCTTGGACTCCATGGCTAGGGGGCAAGCCCCTCTCAAAATGACTCCTTTCCGGGTTTGAAATGTTCACGTTCCAAGTTGTTCGAGAACTAAGCTGTTCAAAAACTGAGGTACCACTCTATTTATTTTCCCCAGTTTGAACTGTATTTATTTCCCCCCCGGTGGTGATTTTCTTGAGTCAATATGAGAGTACCCCTAAACATTTTAAATTTTTTTGGAAAAAAAGCACTGAGATATATAAAATTATATATCAATGGAAAGATAATTTAATGAAGAATGTAATGCGATAACTTTTATGAAGGATTATTTATTACAACAGCAGTCATAAAGAAGAAACGTGAAACACACAGGAAAAAAATGAGATATGCAGGTTAAATTGCTGTGTTGGCACTTTGCGATAAATAAGTGGGTTTTGGGTTGCAGTTTGGGCACTCTGAAAGGTTTGCCATCGCTGCCCTATACAAAATTGCAGCTACAAAGCTGCCTCTCTGATGCCAATCAGGGCTGCTGGCGGGGCGGCGACGGCAAATGACTAAATTCTTCATATGCCTATGCCTGGGTCGTGATCCAAATCAGACACACGCACACTGTGCACATTGTTGCTCCACCCACTTTTCCTCTGTCCCCGCCCACCCCGGCATGTAGTCCCAAATGTGATGCAGATCTGAATTCAGAAACGGCAATATTCAACAGCTAGGAGGAGGTACATTTAGACTCCCAAAACACTCTGCAAGTGACCGTAGAGTGGCCATTCTGGAGCAAAAGCACTGAAGAAACAGTGTGCAGGATGAAACCATAGCACATCTGAGGTTCAGTGTGGATCGAAGTGAAGCAGGATTTTTCGAACACGCCTGGGGGGCACACGCAGCCCCTGGAATGAGACAGACCTCTCTGGGCGTCTTCCTGATGAAGCGCAGCCCAGGATGTTCACAAATCAGTCCTGGCACGCACTTGCGACACATATCAAAAGACATGTGCACGCTCACTCAGCAGAGTATAGCAGAAACGATCGTGGAGCGTGAGTGTAGCCTTCTAAGTGATTTATTAAGCAATATATACAGGACAAAGCAACCATGGAGTCCTCTCACTTCTCCTTCAAAAGAGAGAGAGAGAGTAAGGTAAAGGTAAAGGGACCCCTGACCATTAGGTCTAGTCGTGACCGACTCTGGGGTTGCGGCGCTGATCTCACTTTATTGGCCGAGGGAGCCAGCATACAGCTTTCGGGTCATGTGGCCAGCATGACTAAGCCACTTCTGGCGAACCAGAGCAGCGCACGGAAACACCGTTTACCTTCCCGCTGGAGCGGTACCTATTTATCTACTTCACATTGACGTGCTTTCGAACTGCTAGGTTGGCAGGAGCAGGGACCGAGCAACGGGAGCTCACCCCGTCACGGGAATTCGAACCGCCGACCTTCTGATCGGCAAGTCCTAGGCTCTGTGGTTTAACCCACAGTGCCACCCACATCCCACGAGAGAGTAAAGAAAAGTACAAAAATACAGTACAGCGGAAGAGAAATAAGACTGACTTCCATTCTCACACTTTCCAAGCCTAGAAAGTATGTACGCTTTGTGTGTGTTAACTGGTTAACCGACACCAGTGGGTCTTGTGTCCTCGAGAACTGTTTTGTGAATCACCAGGGTGAGTTAGCTACTTATTTCTTGTTGTTGTTGTTTAGTCGTTTAGTCATGTCTGACTCTTCGTGACCCCCTGGACCAGAGCACGCCAGGCACTCCTGTCTTCCACTGCCTCCCGCAGTTTGGTCAAACTCATGCTGGTAGCTTTGAGAACACTGTCCAACCATCTTGTCCTCTGTTGTCCCCTTCTCCTTGTGCCCTCCATCTTTCCCAACATCAGGGTCTTTTCCAGGGAGTCTTCTCTTCTCGTGAGGTGGCCAAAGTCTTGGAGCCTCAGCTTCAGGATCTGTCCTTCCAGTGAGCACTCAGGGCTGATATCCTTAAGAATGGAGAGGTTTGATCTTCTTGCAGTCCATGGGACTCTCAAGAGTCTCCTCCAGCACCAGAATTCAAAAGCATCCGTTCTTCGGCGATCAGCCTTCTTTCTGGTCCAGCTCTCACTTCCATACATCACTACTGGGAAAACCATAGCTTGAACTATACGGACCCCCTGTTTACAATTCCACGTGTGCATCCCCCAAAACATTGTGTATGTGTATACACCTGCAACTCAGAATCTA